GTGACCCAATAATGCATAATTTCATTTGATAAACACGTTTAGATTGAATGGTAATTTATAATCAGTCACAAGAACGTCGAATCTGAATCACTTGAAAAAAACACGGGGGTGCTTAACTTTTTTCCAGGTGTATATATATAAAAATGTTTTTGTGAAATACTTTAAACATGATAGTCATTCTTCATACATATATTGTTACTAGATTATAATGAATTTTTAGAAAAATGTTCATAAAATATTTATTTAGTTATAATTTTGAGATGAAAACTTAATCATTATTACCCATCATGTGAGGGGGCATTCAGTTTGTCCTTTTATACTGGTGAGTTTTCTAAATTACAACAAATTCATATTTGTAGAAAATAGTTTATATTTAAATGTTTATTATATATTTATTGCTTTCAACCCATAAAAACAACTCTTTACTGGTAAAGTATTAAAAGACAGAGCTTGAGGGCAAACAGACTAGTATATTACTTTGTAAACCAGTGAGGGCACTCAACTGATGACCTAGGGCAGAATGGCTATAGAAGCTTTTAGCAGTTTTACTGATATTCATGACTTTTCTTCCTTGTATTGACCTTAATCCCATCTAGTTTGGCGTGGGTTAGTAATTTTTGAAGCCAAGAATTTTTACACCTGTGTGGCTAGCCCAGATGTTGACCATATAGGATGAGCATGTTTGGCAAAAGATTCAAACTCATGATTTTCAGATTGTGAGTTAATTTCCCTAACCACCAGGTCATGCCAAGCCCTTACTCATAGTCAAGCCTATTTATTGTAATTATTAATGTAGAATTTTTAGCACTTATTCTGGTAGAAATTACAAAATGATAACTAATACTTTTTTTTAACAATTGTCTTTCAACTATTATATATACTACTCAGAATTTGTGAAATGCTGCATGAAGGTACGTTTCATGATACTAACTAAAAAAAAAATTGAGTGCAAGTTTTGAATAATTTTATACTTTTATTAGTATTCCAGCGATGATTTTTTCAAATGATTACAATAGATCATATGTGAAATAAGATACAAAGAAAGAGTGTAATTTTTCAATTTACAGATCTTTCTTAAACCATTTCTACTTGAGAATAATCGTGGCTGGTCTTTTTTTTATGCATAATTTCTAAAAGTCATACAACCTTTTAAAGAATTAGAGAAACCCACAAGGCTGATAATCAATTCATGAGTGGAGTAGGTTGACTCAAGCCCAATTCATTTGATGTTTGCTACTTTGTCTGAATGGTCCACATTCAAGGAAACAAACTGGAGTGTTATCATGGATGAACCACAATGATGGATCAACTAGAGGAATATGGACATGCTTTATCTAATGAATTAGCTGCTTATGCTGTCCAACTATGACACTTGTGCAAAAAAGGTGCACTTCCTGTCTATAAAAGATCAAGAGCACATAGACATTGAGAAAATTATTGAAGGATGCTAAAAGAAAGAATCTAGTTAGAGGTGGTGACATACTACAAGTGTTTTTGAAATGAGACTGGTGCAACTTGTGTATTTTCACAAGCAGCAGAATGAGGTAAATTATTTACCAGGGTGTCCAGAGCCATTCCTGCCATTTTGGTTGAAGGTGGGTCATTGTGATAACTGGGACTTTACAAATGGTAAGCAGATGAAAGCCTTGAATGTGGAAAAAAAACAAAAAAACAGTACCAACAGCCAGTTGTTGCCGAGTGCTCCACCTGTAGCATTTGTAATCTGGCTCAAAATTGTCTACAGCAAGATGTCCATCTCCAGCATTAAATTGGAGGGCAGGATGTGAGCTGATCAATCAGACTGACTATTAGTGTGGTGTGAGTCTACTGATGGTTGAATGTCTGATAAAACTTGTTAAGTGACAGTAACTCTACATTAAGTGGTGCTGAGCAGAGATTATCAGAAATATGGTCAGCAAGAAAGGAAACCAATGTCAGATGCAATACTCAGCAGATGTGGTATTTAGCAAGGAATGTGTGTGTGTGTGTGTGGAAGAAGAGTTGCTTTCCTAATGGACACGAGTACTCCCTCTAACAGTGTACCAAGCCCTTTTTCCAAAGATGAAAATTTGGCTGAATAATTGGTGAAATTAAATAATTTACAGAGATTTAAATTACAGCATGAAATGAATTTTCCTGCATGCTTTTAGGACCTTGGACAGGTAAAAACGTAGATATTTGTTACTTTGTATAAGTTTAAAATAATAAACTTATGTAAATCACCGAAGAGCTGTTTTTGGCTATCAAAGATATGTAGTAATGAATCAAAAAGAACAAATAAGTAAAACCTATAATTTTATTTACATTTTATAAGAAAATTATAATTACCACTAAATATTGTTTGGTTGTTTTAGAGCAAAGCCACATCAGGCTATCTCTTGTGTCCACCATGGGGAACTGAACTCCAGGTTTTAGCATTGTAAGTCTGTAAAATTATAGCTGTCCCACCAGGGGACTACCACTGAATAAAATATATTCCTTGTTCATTTTTGTTGACCCATCTAGCAGGTGGATACTGGGATTTCCTAAGAAAATAATAAAAATATAATAAAAATATCACAGAAATGTTAAATATTAATTTATTCTCTCAAACTTACAGTTTACAAATGATTAAACTACTAAAAACCCTATTAATACATTCTGTCTTCAAAAACAGAACTTATGATACAGTCTAATTAGAGAAATTAAATATATTTTTATTTCTTTTACATAAACAGCACTGAAAATTAATGGGACTCTCAGGCATTTCTTATAAAAAAAGAAGCCCTTAAAAAATTCACATGAATATAATATTTTGAAACATAACCTGAATTTTAATTTAACTAGATGTCTTTCAAAACGAAATATATTCTATAAGACAAAAAAAAAAAAAGAGAAAGCTTGCTAACCTTACTCACCTCTTTGACCATATTTGCAAAAAGGGCTAAAACATGTCCAGCTCTTCTTCTGCATTCAAGATTAGGATCTTGTTCCACGATGTCTAGAAGGGAAAAAGTTGAGAATATAATAACCTATTCTGCCAATCCTAATAATTTATGTCTTTGGATATTGTGATGTGCACTTTACATCAATACTAAAACAGCCACAATGTTAAGGTAAAAAGAAAGAATTTTACAGTGTAAATAAAAAATTTTTTACTAGTACACCAATGGACAAATACACAACTTAGAATGATTAAAGACAGGGTACTTACAGTACTAGGTTGTGTAGGAAGGACAAAGAAACAACAGATGTCAAACTGACACATTATCATTAAGTGTAGATTTTGTTTGATAAAACTTACTCAAAATGGAGAGATCACTAAAAAATGAGAAATTCATATTCTGAGCTATTAATCTTTCTTTAAAAATAATGTAATGTACAAGAGGAGCAAGAAAAATAATTTAAAAACTCAGTAAGTCATTTGAAGATGTATGACACTGAAATGCTAAAAATATTGTTCTGAAGATCAAATTTTGATGTATTCTTAATATCATGTCTTCAAGATGTTGAAAGAAAAGAAATTAAATATCTAAGAATTGATTGTTTAAATGCATACAACTGGATTTAATCTCTTGTGATTAATATCAGTCATGTACAGATGAATTCTAAATTTTACAGTACATCCAGTTTCAACTAGATAAAAAAACTTTACATAGAGAAAAGTACAAAAGCTCAGGTAAATGGCACTGAAGTCCAAACATTTCACTGAATGTATAAAATTTTCATGCATCTGTACATTTAACTATCAAAAGCTTACACAAAAGAAAATAACAAGATAGTGAACTTATATAATTTTGAAAATTAACCTTTTCCAGACTGATAAGTGCTTTTCAATTATTAAATTCACACCTTCATATTAAATTTCAAAATTTAAGTAAAAATAATAATTCTAATCCTGTTTTAACAATTTCTCCCTCAAAAATATTTTACAATTGTCATTTTGTAACATTTGTTTAGCATAATTTGTAAATAAAAAAATACAAATTTCAGACATATATTTTCCTGCATAATTCTGAGAAGACTCGCTTGTTTCTCCTGTCTATCTAAGAGCAAAGATTAAATTTTGCTAAGAAACAAATTACCATCGTAGGAGAGCATAATTACTAATGTTTAGTTTCTTATGTGATTTTACTTCTCTCTCACTGATTTTATTAGGTGCAGCCTACTTTCACACCCTTTTATGATCTCACAGCATGTCATCTAAAAAACCACTAATGAAGCTTGGCTCTGAAAATAGATACAGGCAGGGTTTAAATACCATGGGAGAGAGGAAAATATAAACTATTTACATCAATGTAGAATGAATAAAGTAGTGTGAGAAGTAATTTATGGTTTTGTGGAAAAGTAACAAGACCAAGCTCAGGCAGAGAAAAATAAGGAACAGAGTGGGAAGTTACAAAGACTTAGGTACAAACCACAAATCTGGTATTTTGTTTATAGTTCTTTTCATTCCTGAACATGTTTGTATGTTAAATTATACTTGAAAGCTACAGATATTTACTTCTATGAAAAGGTAACAGAAAAGTTGAATTAAATTTATAGTGTGTCATAGCAATGGAAACATTTTCTGATTACTCAAATCCTTATTTTATTGAATATTATTTGTAAGTTTATTGTTTCCAAACAATGCATATAAGTAACAACTTATTGAATGGAATGTATAATTAATATATATATATGATTTGATTTCATTCAAGAATATTTTTATTAAAAATACTGTTAACTAGCCTGTCTTGGTACCATTTTGAAAGGTCAAGTCTTAGGTCACTGATAAATCTTGGCCAGCTTATGCAGTGGTTTTTGTGCTTTATAGCCAGATGTGTTAATCACTACCATCATCAAAATATAGCATCATATGAAATATGGTAGTAAAAACCAATCAAACTGAAATTTACTAGATATGTAAAAAGGGAACTTTCTGATAAACAATAAACTAAATGAAACTCTATAAAGAAAGGAAGTATTTTCAATGGCTTTTTTTAAAATTTGTCTAACAACAAAATTTAGGAAATTTCACTATATAAAAAATGATAGAAAAAATTCAATCAAATTATATGAGTTTTTTAAGGAGAAACTAGATACTACTTATTAAGTTTGTCCTAAGCTTCATGCAATTTAGTAAACAGTTTACACTGAGAGAAAGTCCAGAAAGGGTTAATACAAGCATACAAAAGAAAGAAGTTCACTACATATACAGAAGGCATAAACAAGGTATAACCCCCACATTTATTTTAATAATACCTCTCTCGTTTTCGTATTTTCTAAGTTATTTACAGCAAAGCTGTCAGACTTCATATTTTATATAGTTGTAATGAGGTTTCTTAAAATAATGTTACAACTATGTTATGTTCTCAAAAGAGAACATCTGTTAGACAAAATGACTAGTGCCAGACATCACAATATTAAGATTAAGTTACTTTTTAAGGTACAATTTAGATGTATGAAACCATATGTTTCTCAGATGCTGACAGATTTTATAACTGAATATCATTTAAGCATCTTGTCTAGAGTAATAGGAAAACTTCATTTATTTCATATTCCCTTAATTGTTATATGTCCCTGCAACTGTTGAAAACAAGCTCCAAGACATGATACAACAGGACTGATGGACAACCTCAGAACCCTTCAGACATTGTACACATTTCAAATACAAATGGTATGGCGAGGCAAATGGCTAATCAGAGTAATAACACCAACAGTTGCAAATGGTGAAACAGTGCAAGGGGTGATATTTCACAATATCCTATCAACATCAAAGATGTTTTGAAGGGAAGAATCAAGATCACATAGTAAATACTTAATGTACAGCTTCCCTGACAATGTGGAGAGAAATATCCACGTATGAATATCTATGGGCATTATCACAGGGGTGACACATGCATTGTCAGTATATTTCTTTTTTTGGAAACATACAGTTATCTGTCTGTAAATCCTTGATAATGCATGTAAGAGCATCACTGAAGGCATATTTCAGTTGCTGATGAAATACCATCATCATAAAAAAAAGGGAAGCTAAAATCAGCAAAATAATAACCTAATGAAGAGACAGGTGATGAGAGGGAACAATGAACCCATGGTTCCATATCAAAAAAAAACACAGCTGGGTAGATCCAACCTGGTCACTGATAAGAACTCCCATGCACACAAGAAAAAGAGTAGGGCAAAGCTGAAACTTGTAAAGTTTAACCAATCAACTCACTTGGGAAACATGAGCATGAGTTACATTAATCAACTTTGTCAATGTAATAACAAAAATGTACATGGAGAAGGTGAAGCCAAGTGGCACATGAATAGACAACCCTGGTAAAAATAGTAACAGTCAGAGTCAGCCTAATATATCACCACCCCACAAAGGATAAATCACAGAAAGTTCTATCAGTTCGTATGGATGGTGATATCAAGAAAAGCATGAGATAATATCTGTAAACCCTTCAGTGTGAAATGACAGAGAATCAAGAACTAACTGATACTGGGAAGATCTGTAATAGGTCTCCAGTAGCCTCTTGTTTTTTCAATCAGAAACAAAAGACAATAGAAACACGCATAACTCTCTAGAATTATAGTGATGGCTTCTTTGTTTAGGTGGATACAGATTTACTAATTCAAATGTTTCACTTGTATGTAATCTGAAGTAAGAATAAGAAATCACAAACACAGAAAAAGTTGTAGAGTAGACAACTAGTTCTAGGAAAGGACCTACAGTACCACAAAATATGTAACAAAAAAGTCTTCTGACAAGAACAAAATAAGGAAGAAAATCCTAGAATATGTCAGCAGGCATCAAGATCAACAGAAAAATTTATTTATAAGATGTTCAATGACTAGGAGCAGAGCAAGCCATTAGTTGTACCAGATGGGTTGACATTACCTAATAATGTTAGCACCAAAACAATCACATAAGCTTTCTGATAAGAAACTTTTCCACTTTTCTATAAAAAAAATGGTCATCATGAAAAACCCTTGTAACACTATACAAATCACAAGGATGCATATGTTGACTGTATGGTCTTTGACAAAAAGAGTGAATTATACAGCTATTAGGTTCTAAAAAAACATATTACTGTACATATTACTAATATGATTACATTGCTAATATAAATAATTTCTACAATAAAATAAACAATTTTAAGTATAGTCTTTGTACTAATGAAACTAGTGAATGATGGTTGAATAAGTTTCCTATCATATTGTAATCATGTATATGTATTACTGGCCAAACAAGTGTTATAATCAAGTGCATTAAAAGTTTCAATAGGGGTATTCTAAAACACTGAGAATATTAAAATTTTTCAATTGGGGTATTCTAAAACACTGAGAATATTAAAATTTTTCAATATGGGTATTCTAAAACACTGAGAATATTAAAAATTTTCATTTTCCAAAGTTGTGTAAATGTTCAGATTCTAATTATTCACTAAGTTCTAACAGTACATGAGTGCTGATGGTTAGTACTGATAAGTACTATGTTAAATGGTAGAATCTAGTATCACTTTGGGTACTACATCCTGTGTAAATCAATCCATTATTGTTTTAAGAAATTTTAGTAGTGTAGCAGAACGTTGAATTACTGCCACAGTATTCACAAAGCAGTTAGTGTGTATATGATTGTTAAAAACAGCTCGTTTGGAAAAGTTTCTTCTGCTTAACTTCTACCTATGACTCTTTCATGCTTCATCACATATGATTTCTCTAGTGAGTATGTAGGTGTGAGTTTAGCTAGGCTTCAACACAAATGTATATTATAGCCTCATGTCCAGAGAGAACTAGCTTTAACCAGTCTTAATTATATTTATGCACAAACAAAGCTATTTTTTTTGCATGTAATACTGTAGCATTAACCCTATGTATATGGGAAGGTCAAAGTGCACGTAACAACCTTTTTAAAGAGCTACGTTCAAAATTTAACTAAACTTTATTATCAATATATGTAAGTAAGCTTGACATCAAAATGTTATATTATTTCAGTTTTAATTTCTTAATATTTTCTGAATTTAGATTGTCTTTCTACCCTTACATGACCTTTTGAGTGTCCCATCAGTAACACACTTACACTATAGATATTGGCAAACCAGAATATGAATTTCTAGTCTCCAAGCTTCTTGCTTTACCAAGATATAAACAATAGAAAGAGCAGGTTGTTCTTTACAAGATTTGTTAGGAGGCTAGTTTATTTTGTCACTCATAATTAGTCATTTGGCCTCAGTTTCATTTTATGTGATCATGTTTTTTCTACTCCAAGCAGAAAAGTAAATTTTACTTAACCTATTTATTGCTTAGTTAGAAAGCCAATTAAATTACATTTGTTATAAGACATTCTATTATATTATCTGATATATGTTTTGTGTTCTAAAATGTATGTTTGGTAGCTTCAAGAATTTTTATTTGAAGAACTAACTTAACAAAAAAAATGAAGCCTATCTTTGCACTTGAAAATGCTAAATCTGGTCATGTACTTTATTTGTAGCATTTACAACCAATGGCTAATTACTCCTTTATAATGTTCAGTGTTTTCTATGAGAGAATCAGTGCTTAAGTGGGTACTAAATACAACAATAAAAATATAAATTTACAGAAAATAGTTGTTAAAAAGGTTAACAATTGACATTTTTAAGACAAGAACTATATGAAACAAAGGAAATTATGCTTTAAAACAAGAAGAAAAAAGTATCATTCATTTTCTTTCCTATTTTTAAACCTTTCATTTTACCATAAATTGATCACAACTGATAATTTTGCTACAGTTAATGTTAGGGTAGATAAAATATAGTTTAACCAAAACAAAAACTTTAAATATTAATTTAGGAGGTTCTAGAGGTTATGCAAATGACATATGAAAACTTTACAGTTCAAAGTATTTTTATTTTTAACATGAAGATCACCTTGTACTCAGACTAGTCAGAGTATGAATTAGACTGACTCAGTAAATTCACAAATAAATCTTTAGTGAGAATAATTTAATAAAATTCTAATTTTTTGTGTAAGACATACTTTTCATATTAATTAAGAAGTTTGTTGAATTTCATGAAGATATACAAAATAAAATTCAGAATTATAGCAAACGTTAATTCTCCAATACAGTATTGCTCCAATGAACCGACCCCATGCAAATAAGGTTAATAAAGCAACATATTAGGTCGTCAAGAAATTAATGCCACTTTTTCTTTTAGATGAAAAAACCAGAACAACTTATATATCAAAACAAAACATTTATTAAATTCTTATCGATGATGCTTTCCATCTTACAATCAGGTTGTTAATGCCCTGATTACAGAAATCACTTGGCTTTGAAACAAAAACGTGTCAATGTCCTCTTTAACAATTTCCATATTTGCATATATTTTCCCATTAAGATAGTGTTGCAGCGAACAAAAAAGATGGTAATCTGATGGTGCCATATTTGGAGAATAGGGTGGGTGGGGGAGAACTTCTCAACCCAACTCCATAATCTTGTGTTGGGTCAAATGTGTCTCATGTGGGGATGTGCATTGTTATGGAGAAGAACACCTTTCCAATTGATGAGAGAAGGGTATTTCTGATGAAGAGCTTGATTTAAACGTTCCAGTTGCTGATAAATCTCTGCATTGACAGTTCGCTGTGGATTAATAAGTTTGAAATGAATTACTACTTTGATGTCCCACCATATACAAAGCATCACTTTCTGCAGATGGAGTCCAGGTTTTGGGGTCAGAACTGGTTTTTGTCTAGGAATGAGACATTGTTTTTGGCATTTAATATTCGCATAGAGAATCCATTTTTCATCACCAGTGACAATTCTGTCCAAAAATGGTTCAGGCGCATTATGCACCAGAAGAGACGAAGCAACGTTCACATGTTTGAAATGATGATCATCGTAGGAGTTCGTGAGGCACCCAAACACCTTTTTTTATGGAGTTTTCCAATATTCCTTAGATGTTTACATATTGTTTCATGAGAGACATGCCATTTCAGGGCCATTTCACGAGTGGGTTGCCTTGGGTCAGACTCAAAAAGCATTTTCAGAGCATCAATATCAATTCCAACATGTCGCAGTTTTTAAGGCTAAAGTCACCTGAACAAAATTTGCTGAACCGTCGTTGACACTTACGAACGTTTAAAAC